ACAAAGCTTGGCTCAATACATACGTTTTAATTGCTAGAACCACAGCAGTAGTGTTTTACAATTAGTAAACCCTTCCAATCCTTTTTTTTTTTTAATTTAGAAGTTGCATGTGTTTATTAGGGTTCATCCACTTCACACTTAACCTTTCAATATGAGTGAACTAATGTTGCTTAGTCCTTGAGACTTTGATAGTTGTTTACCAGTACCATTTTTTCAAAAGCTGTATCTTTGACAGCACTCTGTCTTGGTCCTAATCTTCATTTCTTCTTCAATCAGAGTAAAAGATTCTTCAGCTTTATAAGAAGAAAAAAATCTTCAGTCTGAATACAAACTATGGAAAGTTTTAACATACCGGGCTGTTTATTTCAACCCAACCGCTGCCTAAAGTCCATCATTCATCTGAAATCAGCAATTTGTTACCTACTTACTGCATAAGTAGGATTTTTTTTTCAGTTGTTCTTTTTCACTAAATTCTGTAAGCATTGGTTTTATTCTCTCAATAATCTTTAAATTCATTACAGAAGAAATTTTTCTTTGGGAGTATTATTAGTAGTGGCCATGACAAGGTAAGCATCATTTACCTACAGCTCTGAAAGGTGACCCTGTTTTAATTATAAGGAAAGTAGTCGAAAATTATTTCTCCCCACAACCTTTTTCACGGCTGTCATTTGTCTCAGAAAGAAAATGGGAATTGGAATGGTAGAAGAATCTTTTAAAAGTATTCCTCTGTAAGTAAAATATACTTGGGCTTCATCCAGTTCCTCATCAAAGCAGAAATAATTAAGGTCAGATGTTTCAAGGCTACAAAAATCCTCAGGTCTAAGATAATAGTACACCCCTTCTCAGTTTCCAGAACTCCTTAGAAAACAATCAAATTAAGTTTAAGTATCACAACTTTATGAGCAAAAACATTGTCTGTGTGGATATACAAAAGTAAACAGGTTTAAATCCAGGGATACCTTAAAAGCAAGCCACTTTTAAAATAACATTTATAAAGATACTCAATTATTGAAATATCTATTACAAAGCACTAATTATAAAGATATTACAATAGCTGAACAGGAAAAACCCAGCCATTTAACACACTTGTCAGCTTCAGTTAGCTGCACTCATTCCTTGGAACAGTTTTTACCCTGTGCCACTCTTTGGAATCTCTCTGTTCTGCAAAACAAGAGGGAAAGCACCTATAAACCACCAATTGCAACAAAAGCACACAGAAGTCAGCACTCCTTTCATTTTCAAGCACATTCTCTTCATAAAAAGGCTGAAAGGTGGTTTGTTGGGCAGATTTAATAAATGCTTTGTTTTACAAATATTATGGCTTATTTATAGGCCTGTGCCAGACTAACACACAACTGATTTCTGTGCTTGTATCAGTTACACATCAATTACAGTTACGTCTGCAGTATATAAAACTTCTTTGTCTGACCTGTCAAAAATAACAATTTTTTAAGTCTTTGTAATATGTTTTGTTTGGGAAATGTAAAATGACACCACAAGCAAACTGACAGTAAAAAAAAAAAAGGCTATAAAGGAACCTAGAGTAATTAGGGTCTATTTGGAGGTTTTAAAAGAAATTAATTCCTATAAACATTCCAATTGTTGCCTAGGACCTATCTATTCCCTTCAATCAAAATGAGTTCACACCCTCTTTCAAGCCCTAGCCACCAAGTAATAATGCTATGAGTAATCTTTGCAGCACACAGTAAATCCCATGTTGATAAAGAAACTTTGGCCTTGACCTTTGCAACAGAGAGAACAGACAACTACATGAGGCAAACAAAAAAAGTCAACAGGTCATGCTAATGATACTATTCATTTACAGCGAATCCCGGGAGGTTCACACATCCTTGAGGGGAGATTTTGATTTAGAGAGGTCATTTTGGGAAATTTGTGACAAAACTCAAGGGTCTGCAGCAAATAATTTTGTGAAAGCAACTAAAGAAAAGGTTTACCATTTTCACACAATGTAATTTTCATTTTAATATGAGAAAGCACACTCAACCAAACCCGCCCCCCAATAACTGAAGGTTAGTAACAAAGCCTACCCAGCCTGGAGGTCATCCAACAGATTTTAGAATTGATCTTTCGTATGCGATCAGATTACTGAAACCTGCACAGCGCTATTAAGGATCGCTCGATAAAATAACTGCTGCATTTCTCTATCTCAGGAAAGGTCATTTCTTGGTTAAGGAATAACTACTAACAGGAGGATGCTAGATTTTTGAAGTTGTATACAAACAGACTTTTTTTTTTTGAGAGCAAGTGTTTTACACGCATTTATTAATCATCCAGTCTCTAGAGAAATGTGTAAATAATACATTCCATTTGTAGACGCAGGAGAAAGTGAGGTCAATCAGTTATCACCTGGATTTTCAAACCATTCCTTAACTTTTAACGCAAAATTTGAAACAGCTATAGATATTCTTTTTCTGAAGACCTGGAAACATTTCAGTGGCAATTTTACATCAACATAATTCGCGGTCTCCAATAGTCAGGCCCCACACACCTTAAGTTGGGTATCTGTCAAAATATGAAATAGAACGGACATTTCTGACTTTTTCTGTACACGTTCATTCCCAGGTCCTATGGGAAATCAGAAGGAGAGGTGGGTCTAACACTTAGGAACTCCAAAGCCTGCTTCTCCTCTTTAACTCAGAGACAACTGAAAACAATGTCAAGTATTTGCCATTTTAACTGATCTGACTGGCAGAGATTTTTTGCAGACGGACAGACACATTATGCAGATCTCTGGCCTGCGAGGACCACCTTGGGGAAATAGGACAAATACAGATAACTGTGACACAAGCTAATTCACCCACTAAACTATTTATTTATATCTACCCATCTCCCAGACTTGGTTTCTACCAGAGAGGATCGAAGTGGCAAAACATGCGTATTTCCAAGTGTCATCGGTTGTTTTTCCAAATGTCGCTCCCTGCCAGATCATGGCTGAATCACGGCCAGTGGGGATGTGACAACACAGATTTCTGTTTCTAAAATTCTTTTCCTGGTTCCTAAATTGACCCTGGCATCTTAATGAGAAACACAGCAAAGCTCTTAAGATTTTCAAGCTTACCCTGCCTTGCAAGCATCTAAAGAGTGTATTTACAATATTATTTACTTTTTTCTTTTTCCTCTGTTTAATTAAAAGCACTCTAGGTTTGTCAGAATTCCTTCAGCTCACTTTAGACACTAAAAGAGTATGAAATCAAAATGAATGATGGAAAAGTTGTTGACGGTGGATTTGGAAACAGAAGCAGAAACTGAGCATAAATTAAGCCCCAAATTTCAAAGAACCAGAACCAAACCGAACCTTTTTCTTGAGCTGGTATTTAAGATTCCTCTGATGGAGCTGCAGAGGCAAGACCATTTAGCAGCAGCCTCTCCCAAGGGTTTCACATACTGGATAGGACCCTGTTCCAAATCCTCACTACTCCAACTATGTTTTTGAGGTATGCTGTCTCACTGTTTGCAGGCAAATCTTTAGGGCAGTTAATGGGCCTCCACTTTTCCCTGTTCTATTAAATCACCCCATATAAATTTACTATGCTTCCTGCTTAGATTAGCAATGGGTATTTGTGAAAATGCAAATGAAGTATTCTTCGGTCTGGCACGTTGGTTTCTCACACTAGGCTCACCATCTTGTCTGGGACGTCAACGTTATTGCCAACTGATTCCTCCCTTGCCAGGGGGCACGATTTGCATGATGTATTCTCTCATGGCTGCAGTATGAACATTTTTTAAACATTTATTAGGGGGTATAAACTATGCAGCATTTGATTGGTTGCCATGTTTTAGAGAAACTATGAATAACATTGTTAATACAGCTCTGGCTGACTAGGCTTCCGAGAATCTCAATTTCCTGCCATTTTTAGCAGTTTTAAAGGCTCAAATCAACACAGGTATTTGGCAGCTAAACAATACACGTTTCTGGAAGAGGCAGATATTGATACAAACAAAACCACTCCACCACACACAGCCTGTTTGATTGTAAGTAACTTATTAAAGTGTCAGTCCCACTGTCTGTAATAAGTCTTTCAGTCGATGACAATATAAAGTACATATTGCACCTGATGATCTCTTTGCTTTTCCATTTACTACCACTCGGGTTTGAAAAGTTTAAATTATCACAGATCAGGTAATGAATACTTCTACTGACCACTGACCTACAGTTCAGCTTTACATAAAAAATCTGTGATATTTTGCATTTAAACAAAGCTCTTCTGTGCGTTTAACTGAATTTTTCTCACTTCTGTCACCCTTAGGACCACTTCCTTTTTTTTCCCCAGAGAAACAGATCATGATTGACAGTAGATGTCCAGTAATGGGGTTTGCCTTTTCCTGCACCCCTGTTATTTTGTTTCATGCATACATTTTTTCATTTCCTCCCCTTGCAAACATGCAATAAATTAAGTAGTCACAGCCTTAACCCTATCAATTACAGGACTTTCCAGTTTCACAGTAGTTTGATGAACTGATGTCAGTTCTGATATAAATTGGACCCTACCCTTAGCCACCTTTCCAAGTATTTTTGATGCATGTAATGCCCCATTGTCAAGACACTCCTAGAGTTACACCTCTCCAGCATGTTCCCATTCCCCTTCTTACACACTGAATGCAAGCTCATTATGAGAAAACACCTGTGAAAATTAATTTCATTCCAAAATGACAAACTGTGCCCCATTCAAGTTATTTTGCAGAATTAAACTTCTCCAGTTCCATAACAGCATATGAGAAGAAATGAAACAGTTCACAGACCCATTAATTGCTAACACATTGTTTAGAGCAGGAAGCAAATGCGGTAATGCACTAGGTTTTCAAAGCATCTTCCCAGCATGGTAAAATCAGCCTTATTTTATAGATGATGGCAATTACATTGCAGAAAGAATATATATTATTTTTTTACACTGAAAGCCTTCTATCAAGGCCTACATTTCCTAGTTGTTAGCCTCATATTTCCTTTATGAAACCTGACCTTCCTAATTCAAAAATCTTACCTGGCATCTCCTTTTGAAAGGTTGGTGTTTACAGGATGAAGAATAACCTTGTTTGCATCCACATCCACCACGCATTTTGTATGCAGATCAAGCTCTATAAAGAAATGAGAAAGTGTCAAGTGCTGCTCCTAAAGCACTCGGATTATATACACCATTACTTCCTCCAGACACCAAATTTATTCATGCAGTCTGACAGCCACCCATCAGCTAGAGAATAGAAACAGGACTATTGCCAAATTCCACTTCTAGAGATATTCTGACGGGATGGATCCTGTCCAGCTTTAAAGCATGCATTCTTTTCAAAACAAGAAAGAGCGCTTAGGTTTTACTGAAGGACAATCAGCATATACAAGGCAGTATGA